ATTAGCCTTTAGATTAATATTTTACTAATTTTAATTCCAGCACAATGACCCTAATTTCATTTGGTCTAATCAACATTTAACGTCTTGATACAGTTTAAGTAATTTTAACTTTTTTTCTTCTTTTTTTTTGTTGCAAACTTGTAAAATCAGTAAAATTAGAAAAAAAAAAAACAAAAAAAAACATATTTTGGCGTTTTTATAACTTTTACTGTTTGATGTCCCACACAACTGTTAATTGCCAATTACCAAGCTAAAGTGAGTTCTTTAATAATAAATAATGATGTAATTCAAAATGAGTGAAATTGTTGATTGATTCTCCAGTAAAATACACATATACATAATTTTCAATTCAAAGTAAATAATAAAAATTAATGATTTAACACTTAGCCTGTGTCTTACTTGGTTTTACAACCGCAACAGTTTGTTCCCCGGCAGCGTGGTTTGCGACACATTCAAAGCTCTTTCTTGCGTCCCAGTCCTGTTTCTTGACTTGAATTTGGCTGATCCCCATGTATTCACTGCCTTTCTGGATGGAGGGGTACGTGATGAAGTCGTCCAGAACGGTGCTGCCTTGTTTCCAGGAGAAAGTTAGGGCAGACGGGGTGAAACCGCTGGCAAGGCAGCCGAGAGTGACCGTGTCCATGCCCTCAGAAGCACATGACATGAGCGGAAACACAGTTGGAGCTTTCGACGTGGCTGAAATACAAGAAATAAGCATTTAATTAAAAAAAACACATGAATAGACCCTTCATAATACAGAAAAGATTTCTTATATAAAAGTGAAATAAGTCACTGAGATGAGTCAGTGATGTCACAAACACAGATGATACAGTTTAAACGTCCTTAACTTCTTAAAAGAACCATTCCACTGGTATAGGCAACTTTACAAATGCAAACTCTTTAAAAATTATTCAACTTTTACTTAATTTTAACATTTAAGTTTGATATTTACTTACCTGATGATTTTGTTAACATTGTACATTTTCATCAGTTGTCAAAAGCACGTGTTCAATATGTTTATGTTATGGAATAAAAAGGTGAATCTACTCATAAAATGAGAAAAACTTTAACTTTTTTATTTTTCTTATTTTATTTTCTTAATATTAAGCACCTGCCTTAAACATTAAAATTAAAATAAAAAAAAACATTAAAATAAACTAAACTAAAATAAAATAAACTTAAACCACCCAAAAACCTGCAAAATAAATACATCAAATTTAACTATGTTGCATTTGAGGCTGTTGACTTTCAAAATCAAAATATCCTGTAAGTAAAGATTAAACTTTACACAATTAAAAACAAAATTAACAAAATTATTATTATTATTTTACCCCTGTAGAATAAATAAATTAACGAAAAACTGAACAAATAAACTTGATGCTACTTTTTTTTTTTTTTCTCTCAGGGAGTTACAAACCAGCTCGTTACATAAAAAAAAACCAATATCTAACAATGAATAATTACCACATCCTCCATTAAGTCATTAAAAATATCTAAGTTCTGAAAAGGAAATCTGTTTATACAGTTTTAGTCAAACTGAGACAAACCCAGGGTTTGAATTTGGACTGTCAAGCATCAAATTACTATAAAATTGTGTAAGAAATTCAGCAGCATACATTTTACTGGACATATTAAAAACGTCTTTAACTCATTATTTTCATTATTTATTCCTACCTGAGGAGACGGTGACTGTCGTCCCTTTCCCCCAGTAGTCAAAAGCCCAGTTATCACAGTATAGACAGCTGGTTCACATTTCTAACAAAAACCCATTACACTCTAATCCTGTTGTTTCACATGAACTGGTTTTAAGATTGATTTTAATCAGTCTGAAATTTTGACTTATTTACAGATATAATGTTAAGAATGAATTTAGCAAACATTAGAATTTATTTTACCAATTATTATGAGGTGAAAAATATTGTAATGACTGAAAAAACTTGTAATTTTACAATTTTAAATAAAACATCTTTCCTTAATCAAAGTAACTTTTCATACCTGAAGTGACAGTGACTGTCGTCCCGTTGCCCCAGTAGTCAAAAGCGTAGCACAGTGATGAATTAATTTAAGTCTCGGTACAAAAAGGCTAATCCACTAAATCTAACATATAAATCTGTTTATAAAGTTTTAAAACAAACTACTTTAGCAACAGCTTCAAATGTACTTACCTTTGTTTCTGTTTGTCTATTTAATAGCGGATAGTTGTAATCCAGTGAAAACAAATGTTTATATTTTACACATTTGACTATTAGTTTCCTTCATTAATTACAAATAATAACATTTCATACCTGAAGTGACGGTGACTGTCGTCCCTTTCCCCCAGTAGTCAAAAGCACCATAACACAATGATGAACTAATTTAGGTCTCTGTACAAAAAGTCTAATCCACTAATGATGAACGGGAAAGTCTTTAACAGGCAGGTATTTTCAAAGTTTTATAAATATATTCAAACCATTTAAATCATGCTAACTGCTAAAATATATTTTTAAACTTTTTTTGTTCTAAAATCAGGCGTGAAAGACGTAAAGTGAGAGGTCATACAGTATAATAATTTTAGGTTCATATAGTTTAGTCTTGAAAGTATTTAAATGATCTAAAATATAAATCTGTTTATACAGTTATGTTACAAATGATTTTAACATCAGTTTCAGTTTGACCTACCTTCATTCCTGTTGACTTTTTTACTGTCTGATGGTTGTAATCCATTGAAAACAAATATTTACATTTTCACACATTTTACCACAAATTTCTTTTGAAAACTTGAAATAAAAACTTTTCATACCTGAAGTGACCGTGACCATCGTTCCTTTTCCCCAGTAGTCAAAAGCAGCGTAACACAGTGATGAACGGACTTAAATATCTGTACAAAAAGGCTAATCCACTAATGTAAAATCCTTTAACACACAATAATCCCCCTATTTCATCAATTTAATTTAAACCACCCAAAACATGCTATCATAATACTTTTTAACACTGTTCTTTTTCTACAAAATATGTTTGACCTTGTAGTTCCAGGTCATTTTGACACAATAATCATTGATGATTGAATAAAAAAATAAAATGTCATTTAAAATTCAAAAACACAAACGAATGCAGATTCACTGCAAAGTACAATTCTTATCACTGTTTTCATTGTTTTTCTTCTTCTTTCATCCAAACCCCAGTTTTTCCAGTAAAACTGTTTTTTTTTATTAACCAACAGTTTCAATCCAGTGATAACAAATATTTATATTTTGCACAGTTGATTAAAATTCCCTTCATAAATGAGAAATAACTTTTCATACCTGATGTGACGGTGACTGTCGTCCCTTTCCCCCAGTAGTCAAAGTAGCTATCACAATGAAATACAACAGTCCACTTGTAATACAAATAACTATTTTGTCTGAATCAAAAAGAGCTCACGTGTTTAATAAAAAAATTATTACTGCTGTTTTTTTTTATAAGTATCTTCCCTGGGGATGATAATTTCCTGTAGTCTGAGTTTCATAACCGTACATCCGCTTGCTGTTGGTAAGTGCACACTTCCTCTTTTTTCTGACCTTACTGTCAGTTCCAATTCCATTAGTAATAATCATGTCACCCAGTCAGATTCAGTTCACGCAACTAATAAAGATTGTGTGTTGATTCTAAACAATTAAATTATGTTAAGAAGCCATTTCTGTGAAGGTATACATATTAGCAGTGGTGGGCACAGCTAATCAAAATGTTAGCTTTGCTAAACACTAATTTGCAATCTAAAAATTAGCTTAGTTAACACTAAACATCAAACAGAAGGAAAAAAATAGCGGAAGCTAAGGCTAATGTAGGATAATTTAATTATCCAATCATCATCTTATTTTTCATTCATTCATTCAACCTTTATTTAGACAGGTAAACCCCATTGAACCTCGAGGACTCATTTACAAGAAAGACCTGATTTCAACAAAGAATGATGACAACAATGGACAACAGCGACAATAATAGACAGTTATAAAAAGGCATAGTTTTTTTTAAAAATTTTTTTACAAATAAGATGGCTAAAAAAAAGTAACAAAAAACAGCTAGATTCTAAGGCGAATGTAGAAAACTAAAAACAGGAACATGTCTGCATTGGTCCCTGCAAGGAGTCCAACAGATTCTTAAAGCCACTTAGAGAGGTCAAGGTCAAGAGCTTCAGGTCTTTTTGCAAGATATTCCAGGAAACACGAGCAGAGTAGGAGAAGACCCTTTTGCCTAGTTCAGTCCGCACTGAGGGAACACTGCAGGTAATAATGTCCTGAGAGCGCACGCTGTAGCTGCACTCACACAGAGACATGTAGGAGGAGATGTATGAAGGTAACAGACCAAGAAGTGATTTAAAGATGAAAATATACCAGTGAGAGAGTCTGTGTGAATGATGTCCAGTTAACCAGTGAATACAGGGTGCAGTGGTGTGTACGATAATCACAGCCAGTTATGATTCTTAGTGCACCGTGATAGACAGCATCCAACATCTGCAGGGTTCTTGTAGGAGCGTTCATGTAAATAATGTCACCGTAATCAATGGAGGGAAGGAAAGTCACAGATACAAGGTGTTTCCTAGCATTCAGAGTTAGACAGGGTCTGTTTCTGAAAAAGAAACCCAGTTTAACTTTCAGTTTCTTTACTAGGTTTTCCACATGGAGCTTTAAAGAGAGATGTGAATCGACCAAGATACCCAAATATTTATAGGAATCAACAAACTCATTAACCTGTCTAAATAAAGGTTGAATGATTGAAAAATTTGCAAGAGGAGCAGCAGTTGAAAACCAGGTTACAGTACATTGCATAATGCCTGGATGACAAAGTCTGCTCACAGGCAGTATAAAGAAGTGTTTTTTTTAATAGTTGTCAGACAAAGGCAAGGTCAAGACAACTCTGCTTTCCAGCTTAGGGCCTTGAAGTTTATCAGGTGTGCAGGCTCCGTGCTCCTGCAGGCTCCATCCACTTCGCAAAGACAAAACAACTCTAACACACACATGGTTCTGCAACTTTTGACGTTAGTAACTGAAAACATCCATGACCTTTACATCATCTTCCCCCATCAGCAAGTTCACTTAATTTTATCAAACACTGCTTTCGTTGACACTGTAAGACTGTCTGTAATGAGACAGTGAGCACAACTCAAAACTGTTCGTGAATCACAAATAATGTGTCCAAGTCCCATTCAGAGGTGAGCTTTCAGGAGTGAATCTGGTCCATCGGAACCAAAGAGGCAGAGGAGATCTTTGCTGTGCTGAAGCAGAGTGATGCATTCATTGTGTCAGATGTCTTCCTCTTGTCTTATAATGAATTAACTCACCTTAACAATCCTCTTAATGAATAACTACTTGTATACACTAACTACAAAGTTGCTGAACATCATCATCAATATTATGTTCATAATAAATATGTTTGTATTAAAGTAAATATGTGTGAAGAAATGTGTGAGAGTCATGTCCCACAGACAGTGTGAGCATTGCAAAGCATGCTGGGAAGGAATTATGTTTGCAATGTTTCTGACTGTTTACAATGTTTCTGAGTGTGAAAATGGTTTTTCGTGTTTTTTTTATCCTGTTCTGGATCGGTTTGGTATCTATGTTAAACTCTGTTGGCTGTGAACTGTCACCATGAGTGTCTGTACTGTTTGTACAGACACTTGCTCTTGCTGAGGTCAGACACTTTTCCCCTCTTCTCCCTCCTCTGCTTTGCTGCTCTGTCCTGTCTGTGAAACTGCTTCTGAGCCTCTCTCTACTTATTTTCCGAACCATAATTTTGTGGATCTGGTCAGTGTTAGGGTTAGGGTTTGGAATCTATGTGAGACCAGCAAAGACTCAAGGCAGATAAAAATCAAAGCTCTGCCTGACTTCAAAAACAAACGTTTATCTGAATTTGGCTCCCTTGGCTGGCCTTGCAGACCACCTTATCTGAATTCACCTGGAAGACATGTAATCTGACGCTCTGCCCCCCTCCCTCCCATTGATGAATTCCACTGATCAACCGAGGAAACCAGCTGAATAAACATTGTTTCATCAATTCAGGACTCTTGGATTCCCATTGGCGTTGTCCTTGGCCATTCCCCGGCATCCCTCGAGAATGTTTACGGATCTCACCGGCGGGAACTGGTTGATTATTCCATCCTTATCAGAACTCCTACAGTGCCATTGAGAGCATCCTTGGACATCCTCACTGCTCTCTGCGTCTCCTCACCTCTGCGGAATGTCTACGTCACCACGTGCTTGTATGTGCGAGTTGTTTTTTTCAATATCAGAGTCTTTCTTCTCAGTCAAGAAGAAAGAGTTTGATATGAATTTTTTTTGCCTACAATTCCAATGTGTCCAGTTTCACTACTTTTTTGTCTGTCTAAACAGATCTCACTTGTAAATGAGTCTTAAAGGCTCAGTGTGATTTATATGTCTAAATAACGGTTGAATTTAATTGAATTGTGGGGGGTTGGGGGGCAATGTGAGGGTGGTGAAGTCATTGGGTGGTAATTAGGGCTTTAACAGACTACTCGAGTAATCGACAGGTTGATTCCTAGGACATCTATCGAGTTTTTAAATTTCATGTTGAGTATTCACAGTGACGTCATTACGTCACAGTTACGTCATTGCGTCATGTGTCACGTGATCCGCACCAGGCTACTAGTAGAAGATACCAAATGGATTCCTCCCAGCAAATGGACTGAGCGGTGCAGGCCCAGTCTTGGCAAACAGGTAGAAATACATCAATAGTATGGAAATATTTCACTAAAGATTAATCTTCCAGTTCAACTACCGTAACAAAACAGAAAATGAATCAACTTCCTGACTGTTTGGAGCTCGTTGCAAACTGGTGTTATACCATATTCTGTGACCACCGTATATTGCAACTGTAGGGGGCGGTGTTGCATGCACTTTTGCAGGTCACAGAATATGGTGTAACACCGGGTCCAATCGACTGAACCAGAACCAGCTTCCATCTGACCTTGTTTCAGAAACTAAAAGCAAAAAATATGAATCTCTAAATCTATAAAAACCTATAACTATATTAATCTCTAAAACTAAACCTAATGCGCACCACAGCTGGCAGTGGTGCAGGGTGGTCGTCCACTCCACTGTTTTTAGTTTCGTTTTTTGCATGCTGCACGTTTCTTTCACTTTTGCAGCTTAATAATAATAACTAATAGTTTTGGTTTTCCTGTGACTTATTTACAGTATGCTAAATTGTAGGAGCATAATATACGCTACTAATGTTTTGTTGGTCTTTTTTTGTAAATAATAAATTACGTTTTTTTAGCTGCTTTATTTTTTATTTATTCATCTAGAGATCCTATGACATCCTCAACTACTCGAGTTCTACTCGAGTTTTATTATGTTAATGACAAGTTTAAAATTTATGCAGTCGTTCAACCCCTAATGGTAATTAGCTTTGCGTGAAGTCATTGGGTGTGCTTAGCTTTGCTTAGCTCAGCATATCATTGCATTAGTCCATGTAAATCATTATTCTCTTGTATTCTTTTAGTGCAGAAAACTATCTTTAAAAAAATAGCAAATATCAGATTTAAATTTAGCTGGAGCTAATTCTTGAGCCGGAAAAGGTTAGAATGCCCTCTTCGGGTCAGGAAGGAGGTCCTGCCCCAAGTGGAGTAGTTCAAGTATCTTGGGGTCTTGTTCATGAATGAGGGAAAAATGGAGCGTGAGATCGATAGGCGGATAGGTGCAGCGTCTGCAGTGAAGCTGGCACTATACAGGTCTGTCATGGTGAAAAGCGAGCCGAGTCAAAAGGCAAAACTGTCAATTTACTGATCTATCTAAGTTTCTACCCTCATCTATGGTCATGAGCTTAGGGTTTTGACCGAGTTCTCGGATATAAGTGGCCGAAATGAGTTTTCTCCACACGGTGTCTGGGCTCTCCCTTGGAGATAGGGTGAGAAGCTCAGTCATCCGGGAGGGACTCGGAGTAGAGCCGTTGCTTCTCCACATCAAGAGAGGCCAGTTGAGGTGGCTCGGGCATCTGGTTAGGATGCCTCGTGGATGCCTCCCTAGTGAGGGGTTCCAGACACGTCCCACCGGGAGGAGCCCCAGAGGAAGACCCAGGACACGCTGGAGGGTCTATGTTTCTCGGCTGGTCTTGGAACGCCTCGGGATTCCCCTGGAGGAGCTGGCCCAAGTGGCTGGGAGGAGGGAAGTCAAGGCCTCCCTACTTAAGCTGCTACCCCCGCGACCCAACCCCAGATAAACAGAAGAAAATGGATGGATGGATGGAGCTAATTCCACTAAAAGTTTTCAAAGTTAACAATTACGCTAATCCACTAAAGTTTAGTGGATTAGCAGAACCATGCCCACCATTGCATATTAGCCAACTCTGATGAGA